CTACTAATTCTGGCAGGGTTAGCGGTTTTCCATGTCTGTGGATAATATCCGGTAGGCCTAGTTGAGTTGCACTTTTGAGAGACATGGAGTTTACAAAGTTGAACATGTGGTTCCATACGTGAGCTTGAGCTTGAAGAAGTTCAGTCGATTGTTGTCCATATTGCAGAGCCATATTCAGTAATAACGATTGAAAAAGGTAAGAGATGCTCACAGCAAAAGGAAATTTCTATAGTGCCAAATTATTGAGGTGCATTTTTGAGAGACTCATCAGCCCATGTTCGACTGCAAACGTTTATTCAGTGTCTTGTCGGTGATAAGTTTTTTTTTCTCCTTATAAGTATGATGTCTGATAAGAGTCAAAAAAATAGGTCAAAATCGCGTCCAATTTGAGTTCTAAAAGAGTTTGAATCGCGAAAGGAAACTAAAGATTCGTCTGCGAAAAAAGCCCATGCCGGCACACCAGTATAACTACTGCACGCGTGCCGTAGAACAAAATGACTCTCAGGTTGGGGAAAATAAGGAGTTGCGCATGCGCCATGAATTGCCCCGCGAGCGCGCAGGTTCATCTCTGGGCAGCTTTCAGTATTGTGACCATAACTTTCTTTACAGGTATGCGATTAAGCTAATTCAAAATAAGTTGGAAAGATAATTCAAAGGGATACAATTCTTATAAATACAATATTTCCAATTCGAACGTTTAATATCCGAAAAGTGGGTCTCAAGTTGAGGCTAAAAATTCGGAACATAACTTGTTCGGCTGGAAATTGATTTGTGAAAATGTTTCCACTATATTTCACTCTTTTGACTTCCTATTGCATCCAATTGATCCTATATGATCTTCAATCATCATTTTATGCTCCGAATTAACTATTGGATATTTACACTTTGGTTCCCAAACTTTGGATTTCCTTCGTTTTCGTACGTTTTTCATTCTTTTTTCCAAATCCACCAATTTGCATTGAGTTCAACCTAACAAACATAATTAACACAAAATTAAGTTATAACTCATCCAAATCACTAACAAATACTCTAATTTAATGTCATAAATAAGTGTACAAAATACACTTATCCTCTATAATAAAATTTATTATCTTTACAGTTTTTCTTTGATATATGGCCCAAATAACTTTTCCCATTCATTTCCTATCTGGATTATTCTACTTTAACAACGTAGGCCATTGGTTTCTTTCCCTCTTGTGTAGCTTGAATTGAATATTTTATCATTAAAGTAAACCATATGGTTCACATGATTTGATCCAAAAATTGAATTTTTTTTTTTCGCAAAACTATTAAGCAATTCAATTACCAAATTAACAAGTATATAAGATCATCTTTCAGAAATTTGCAGTCTATTTTAATTAGATTAAAGGGAAGAGCCTCTTGTGCTAAATTTATTGATCAAATAAACTCCTATATATTGTATGTTCTTTCTCATTACACTAGGTAAGTTTTATTGTTTTTTTCTCATTATATGAATTCGCCCGGATCAAGTGAAATCAAAGATCTTTCAAGTGTGCAACTCAATTAGGCATACCGGATATCAACCACAAGCATGGTAAACCAATGACACTGGAGGAATTAGTTGACGCCCTCCCCATCAACAAAGCAAAATCTCTAGGTGTATCCCGCCTAATGCAAATTTTAATGAATTCGGCGTTCTTCATCAAAGCCACAATCTCCAACAATGATCCCGAAAATATGGGATATTGGTTTACATCAGCTTCTCGTCTCCTCTTAAAAGATGAGCCATTGAGCGTGACACCATTTTTACTAGCCTTGCTAGATCCGGCTTTGACAGAGCCATGGCATCATCTAAGTGAATGGTTTGAAAATGAGAATCCCACGCCATTTGCTACTAAACATGGGAAGACATTTTGGGAGTATGCTGGACAGGAGCCAAGGTTGAATAACTTCTTCGATGAAGCAATGGCTAGTGATGCAAAGTTGGTGGCTAGTGTGCTTATTAGTGATTGTAAACATTTATTCGAAGGTCTGAATTCAATTGTAGATGTGGGAGGTGGAACAGGAACTGCTGCGTCAGAGGTTATTGCTGATGCGTTCCCAAACTTGAAATGCACTGTGC